TGATTTTTGCATTATATGCAAGAAATAAATGTTCCTAAAATTTAAAGATGGATAGCCTTTAGCTAGGCTGTGTTAGTCATTGTGAGCTCTTTCCTGTGGAGATGCATTGCAAAAATGTTTCAGCCAATCAGCTTAGTACGTGGGTGGAAATCAAAAATAGACATTAATTGTCCATTGAAAATAATCTGCAGGTAAATTATACGTCATTATAACTTATTACCTTGAAAGTTACTGATCCTTCAGTCTACTGAAAATTGCCTGTTTACCATTCTATTTGATGGTGCAAGATTCTGTTCTATCTAATACATTTGTATGTAGAATTGTAAGATAGCCAGGTTCTCCTCACAAAAATCTTGACATTCCACATGTGTTGGCACAAGACCAAAGTAGCACCACAGTGTTGCATGCTTCCGAGAATCATGAAGGGTGTCTTGGCCTTTTAGGAAGATTGTGTACAGAGAGACACCTACATTGCAGTCTTATGTACATCTAACTTGCATTGCAAGTATATACGATGTACACTGACGTAATCTGGATCATGCCTCTGTCATTTCCTGTCTGGCGCTAATTAGGCATCCCAGGTAAAGCTGGAGCTAGTCCTAATTAACGATCCCGAAAACATTCTTACCCTAACACTTTGATTGTCACTCTAGCTAGGAGGTTGTTATACAACTACCAGCAGTATTTTAGGCCTTGGTGTGTATATGAGAGTAAGATTTTCTAGTTACTAGTCTTTTGTCTATGATTAATTCACTCAAATAATATCAGAGTATTTTGACATCTCTCTTAGCATTCAGTTTAGTTATTAATAATAAAGAAAAAACAAACCTGAATGTCTTAGTTCATGGGACTTACAGAAAATGGTGGAAATTATGATGTTTTTCAAGTATTAAACCTTGAAAATGAAGATGGATCATGAGATTTTTCTTGTTCTTATAAAACAGCTAATGTGGATGTTTACAAAGTTGGTGATTGTTGGATCCTATTGGAGAAGCTGCAGCATTACCATTGGTAAAACCAGCTTAATTAAGAAACTATGTATACCAACATTTACTTTTAAACCTGTGGAATTCACCATGTGATCTTTTCAGTCTATTGTTTATGAATACTTCGAGACACTGATGAATTCTTAATCATATTGATTACTGTATTGTTAAATATATTTTCCACACTCTGGACATGGAGTAAAATGTTCAGCTACAGTGTAAATTGGGTTTAAAGAGTGTTAACACAATATTACATCATCTATGCAAAATCATATCCAACAATATTTATGAAACACATGTAATTAAACAAAATTATATTCTAAAGGTTTGAAAATGTGATTTACCTGAAATGAAATGTTGGACAGGTACACGTTTAGTTTTGTAGAAACAGAAAAAATCTCTTATAAATTATATGAGAGAGGTTCAAAGTATGGTCTTTCAAAGTAAACTGTAGTAGTGTTAGTACTGACAGAATCAAAACAAAATATGATGTATGTAGGGTCATTTAGGTTCAAAATATGTTCATGAGGAATATAGTGCTATTTTGAAACAACACATATTGCAACATCATGCTACTGTAAGGCAGACTTGAATATATAAAGAACAAATTCTGTTTGTATCTAAAATAAATACAAGTGTTTTTCTGGTGTTTATTTTGGTTTAAAAATAAAGGATGAAGATAAGGTTATTATCAGTTCATTTAGAGCCCGTTGATAAACCTAAAAATGTTTGTATTCTGTGTATTCTTGAAGTTGATATACAAGAAAGTTATAGCATTTTCCTTGTATTGGTGTGGTATGAAATGATGCTAAGAAGAGGATTGCTGGAACAACATCATTGATATCATGGTCATCTTGGCCTAGCATTTACTCTTAATTTGTACTTTTGAAATTCATTTGATAAAATCATCATTACAGAATTGTATTCAGAACACCTTATAAACTATAATTATATATTTATTCAGGATAAATATGTACAGATTTGTATACAAAAACATTTGAATATATGGCACATATAACATGTTATACATAATCAGGAATAAGTTGTTAGCTATGTCTTTAATGTATTAGCTAGTTATAATTATTAACAAAGACAAAAGTACATATATCCTAGGGTTTCCCAAAAAAGCGTTAAAAGGCTTATTTCCATTGGGGTCCTTAAAATGGATTTACAAATGTATTTCCCTCAATAATATACATAATAACTATCATGATTCTCTTGCATTTGGTTTTGAAAGTGACGTTTCACATGGGTTTTGAACTTAAGATTGTTTGATATATTTTAATATAATTTAGGTGTTATTCAATATAAAGCATTATTGTACACTGGGAAACATTTAGCCTGCTTTTATTCACACTGACATTAATATTTTAATTTTTTACCCATGTTAATTTTGTGTTAAAATATGTACAAAAATAAAATATTTTTATGCTTTAGCATCCACCTTTAGCTCAGTTTTTATATTTGACTCATTAGGAAACCGGAGAATTTGGCAAAAGTGAAACTATAGCAAAGTTTTCCCCGCCATGTCACTATGGCTATCAGTATGCAGAATAAATGTTATCTGATTATCAGTAATAGAATTGTCATATAATGTGTATAAAGGAAAATTTCCTGTTTTGTTGCAGTGTTTGAGAATTTAATACAAGCTATATTTCATAAAGTGTCAACTTGTGTGATGCCATTAAATTTGGCATTTATAATGATAGTTGTAGACCGTGGTTCAGCATATAAATCATAACAAATAAAGTTTTAGTTCAGAATTTGCGTTTTTAGTGTTCACTTCTGCAGGTGCTTACTTAAAGTAACTTGAAATGCTGTCTTAAAACAAGATAATTGACTTGAAACAGGTGATAGGTTGAAAAAATGAAATAATTAAATATATATAAGATACAGATACAGCGCCCTGTAGCTGAAGGGTTTTGGTGTTAAGGCATGTCAGTTACGAAATGTTGAGTGTTTTCCAGCTGCCTGCAATCCTACCCTTAACTGCAGAATTTTATTGTATAAACTTCATTACCTGAAGAGATTGAGTGAGTTATAGTTTTGATTACAAGTCATAAAACATTCTTTGTAATTTTATTTATCAGTGGTTATCTATGAGTATATAAAAAACAGACATGATGAAAAAATAAAATGCATGATTTATTATCAACTCAACATTGTATCTCATCATATTCTAGACAGCCATGTGTCTTTGATTTATGTCTGTCAGAAAGTTTTGCCCCAAAGCCCCCCCCATCAAAGACTCCACACATCAAATTTAGTAGTTGTATTTTATGAAACTACAGAATGTTCAAGTCTCTGTGCAAAATAATGCAACATTATCAGAACTTTACACAAGTTAAACAGTGTAGTAAACTACCAACTGCAAACTATTTTATTAAAGACACCTATTGCTTTTGGAATCAAGTTATTCTGGGAACATAAAATTTTGATGAACCAGTTTTGATACCATCAGATAAATAATTTTTGCTTTATTTAAACGGTATGCAATCATGAAATACCAGATTCATAAAAGGTACATCAACTGTTTTAAAGAGGCATACATCACGTGTCAACCCATTGGTCCTACCAGTCGTGATAATCAAGTTCTATGGTAAGATAACAGGCATCACATCATTAAGGTATTACACATGTAAGTTGTATATCTGTAGAAAATGATACTATTCTGGTGGTCACACAACGTCAGCAGAACTTCTGAGATGGGTTGGCATAGTTATCAGACACAACTGTTATACTGTGAATCAGCAAATAATTGTACAAGACTTCTTACCAAGGGACGTCTTTTGGGGTCCAGATAGAGAGCCTTTTTAGTGTCTGTGACATTGACCTTCATCATCTGTATCACAACAGTGTGATCCCACACAACACTGAATATTGCTGATTCTTCCTATTCTATGACTTTGACTTTCTTAGTATGTTTAAGAAATCGACCGACATGGAATATTTTCAACCTTTGGATTCTACACTTATATTTAGATTGCAGCTGCAAAATCTTAGATATCAACTATGAAGTTTCATAATTAATGATGTTTCACTAACTTGATATGACCTGACATATATTTTGGTTCTTAATCAGTAATTTATTACTTGTTTCCTGTCTTTTGTTCATTTTATTACATCATTATGCCAAATATTGTTGCTTGTAAATTTTCTGACCTTGACCCTCATATTCATATTTCTAAATTCAAGTACCTACTTTTTACCATACACATATATTGATATTCTTAAACTTTGTCAAACACATGACATTTCTCTCATTTATGTACCACTCAGTGGCACATAGATGTCAGTTATAATGCTTTAATGGTGCAGGTAGTTTCCCATCACAGGTACTCATATATATCATATTTTTGATGGCAAGTCGTGATATTTTAACATTACTTTTAGCTCACCAGGGCTGATTTTATGCCACAGTTATGTCCAGTGTCTGTCAACAGTTTACTAGGTAGATGAAATCTTGAGTTGCTGCTGTAATATACAAAGATTTTTTTTTTAAAGTAACAAAATTTGTGCAAATAATGTTACTAACCCTCTAGAGGCTAGTGGAGCAATGTTTTATTTCAACCAATCTTTAAACATCATTGAGAGTTTGATTCAAAATTTTAGAAATATATATGCTTACCCTACTCATTCTCTTCCTGATGGACACAGAAGGATTGTCCCCAAGTATGGAATTAGAATTTATAATTGTTAAATTGAAGTTGTTAATTTGCAGATATTTGAAATCATATCAATTTATTTAAACTTCTGGTTCACACTCCTTAGAGCCAAACATATGGAACCAAAGACCTTTAAAACCAGGTTGGCAGCTAGTTTATCAAAAACCATAATTAATGTGTTATTGTAATTCACATGTAGTATCCTTCATCATTTCCTTACAATTAAAGATAATAGCACCAGCTGGATGGTCCCCTTTCAGATGATAAGTGAGTTTTAAATATCTCATTTGTCTTTTCTGTCCTTTCTGTTTTTGTGATATCCAACCTTTTGGCTCTTGTCTATTTTCAGACCCCTTGTTGCAGCAGTTGTGTTTGTGTTTGACAATCCCAGATGAGGAGATTCGAGCTTCCATTGTGTACATTTTTGTGTACTTGCTAGTTGGGGACTGGCCAACGAGGTTGTCCTCCCACATCCATAGACAGATCATACAGGAGGTTGTATGTCTCCTTAACACAGCCAAGACCCAGGGACTGCTCCTCAACTGTTTAGGTCAGACTCACATTTTACTGCAGTGCTTTGTTATGTTGAATTGTAGAATTAACTAGTCATGATGATTGCAAAGCTTTGTGATCTCTAATTCAACATGTCTGCTCCTTTGTTTGAATGAGATATGCTACATGTTGATGCCCATCAGGCCATATTTTATCTTAAAGCCTAAGAGAAACTAACAGGCAGTCGTACTAATAAAACGAAGAGTAAGTGCTGTAATTCATGAATTGAAATGCATAATTAAAAAGTATTACAATGCAGGAAAACAACTGATTGGAAAGAAGATTATGCTGTTTAAATGCAATATTTTGGATTCAAACTAAAATGTTGGAATGTGCTCCAAAAAATTGAAGATAATAACGAATTTATCCTTAGATAAAACAGGACTAGATGGACCACCTATGGCAATGTATTACATAATTCTGCCATTAATAACTTTTTATCGGAATGTTTTCCTTATCAGCAAGTGGCAGAAATGTTGCGCCAGTCTTCAGCAGACCTTGACTTCAGTATGATAAAATGTATGTGTTACATACATATTCCAAGTATCATATATCTGATGTATGCTGATTATGTAACTCAAACAGGGATTGTCTATCAATCATTTATGTGGTTTAGATATCAGGAAATGTAAGATGAAATAAGTTATCAAATTTATGGATGAGGTTCCAAAAAGTTTCAACACACAGGTATCACTAGAAGGGGCGCGCTACAAATGTGTAGTGATAATGTACAGAAATATATAAAGTTCAGCAAGGTGGAACGTGATCTCTGATTCTTTTTATAAAGTTTTTATTCAAATGGAATATTAGCCCAAACTTTGTGAGAAAATTTACTGCTATATGCTGGATAATATTTTTAACGTAATGAATCCTGGTCTTTTCCTCATGGGTGGAGTGAGTACTTTGAAGAAAAGAGGGAAACACTGTTGATAAATAAATAACTAGTATTTCTCAAGAGATAAGAAATATTGGATATAAAAATCTACATAAATCTTTAGATAAAATAGTTTGTGAATGATGATAATCCAGTTCACTTAGTCTGAAGTAAATGATGCTCTGTGTATTCAGAGCATCTTGTTGTAGCATTTAAAGAACCATACAAAACCTGAAGGCCTGTGTGCAAGTTCCTACAGCCTGTAATAACTTAAACACTTGATACCAGGATTTCCAATTTGTAATGTGAAGAAGCTGATTACAAAGTCTTTAACTTGTTTTCAGTAGGATTGCCAATATTGACACTGATGTTGGTAATTAAGTGGTCATGTTAAGTTTGTTAATTTATTAGATTAGTGTCAGGAAACATTACCACTATATTGTTTCATGTCTTTGTTTCCATGTTACAGGAAAATAGTGAACCTACATTACAACTATGAGAGCTTTTAATGAATGTTTTGTAACAGGTATTTTTTCCTCAGAACAAAGATTTACACTCATAAGGAAAATAAGATATCAGACTTCAACTTTCATCAGGAAGGATAAATCTCAACAGGCTAGCGAGAGGTTCTTCAATCTTTAATTAGGTAGTATGTCTACCGGTTTCGCCCTTTATGTCGGGCTTCTTCAGGACAACCTTAACATCAAAATCACCTCCTAACGTACTTAAAATGTGACATTCAATACATGCTGGAATGATTAGTCTAATATTGATCAGTGTCCATTGATCTGTGTTATATGTAAAAATAGTAAAGTGAATAAATTTATAAATTCCATTAAGATTATAATCCCAAAGCATTCAATAAGTATCTGTTATATGTAAAAATAGTAAGATAACTTAATCTATAAAATCTATTACGGTTATAATCCTAATACATTCAATAGTTATCATTTACTTATTTTTTTTCAGAACCTTTCAGTACAAAAGAGTCATCTACACCCAGGGTTTCTTTTGCCCTCAGATCTTTTTATTTCGTTTGCACCCAGATTTCAATTTGCCTGAACATGAGAACCGTATTTTATCTTGAACATCAAACATAAGCCCTCCTTTAATTTTCATCCAATTAGCCAAAGGATGAAACCAACAGCAAGAGTTATCTTGTGCACAGTCTATAAACATATTGTACAAAAATGCACCAACAGCTTACTCTTTAGTATTAACATCAAGGAAAATGTATCAAGAATCCCTGGATTAGTGCTTTCATATTCAGTAATATATATCTAACTTAACCTACCGGTTTGGAGGAGAGGATGTTCTTTGGAAAGAAAGAGGGTGGAGGCCTTGTTAGTTCCCAGGTGTTATTTATCCTTCAGGTTATTTCATTGTTCTGGTGGTATAAGATATTTTGAAAAAGAATAAGGATATATAGTGAATGTGAAAGTTTTTATACATAAACCATCTGTTAGAAAATGTAACGGTTATTGGATTACGGTTAAATGGTTAGTTGAGACTGCCTGTATGTGGCATCCAAGATGTGTATGGCCTGGCTTCCTCATGTTTGGCACATGTATAGCAGCTGTATACACCTGGCCTGTAACTTTCAGGAACAGAGTCACTACTCTGAGCCCCAATATCCTAACTACACTGTTCTCTGTATACAGCATCTCTCACTCACAGAGCCTAACATCCTAACTACTCGTATACAAATATCGCTCACTAACAGACTGTCTGACATCCTACCTACTCTGTACACCAACATCTCTCACTAAGTCTGACATCCTACCTACTCTGTACACCAACATCTCTCACTAACAGGCAGTCTGACATCCTACCTACTCTGTACACCAACATCTCTCACTAACAAACAGTCTGACATCCTACCTACTCTGTACACCAACATCTCTCACTAACAGACAGTCTGACATCCTACCTACTCTGTACACTAACATCTCACACTAACAGACAGTCTGACATCCTATCTACTCTGTACACCAACATCTCTCACTACGTCTGACATCCTACCTACTCTGTACACCAACATCTCTCACTAAGTCTGACATCCTACCTACTCTGTACACCAACATCTCTCACTAACAAACAGTTTGACATCCTACCTACTCTGTACACCAACATCTCTCACTAAGTCTGACATCCTACCTACTCTGTACACCAACATGTCTCACTAACAAACAGTTTGACATCCTACCTACTCTGTACACTAACATCTCTCACTAACAGTCTGACATCCTACCTACTCTGTACACCAACATCTCTCACTAAGTCTGACATCCTACCTACTCTGTACACCAACATCTCTCACTAACAAACAGTCTGACATCCTACCTACTCTGTACACCAACATCTCTCACTAACAAACAGTCTGACATCCTACCTACTCTGTACACCAACATCTCTCACTAACAAACAGTTTGACATCCTACCTACTCTGTACACCAACATCTCTCACTAACAGACAGTCTGACATCCTACCTACTCTGTACACCAACATCTCTCACTAACAAACAGTCTGACATCCTACCTACTCTGTACACCAACATCTCTCTCTAACAAACAGTCTGACATCCTACCTACTCTGTACACCAACATCTCTCACTAACAAACAGTTTGACATCCTACCTACTCTGTACACCAACATCTCTCACTAACAGACAGTCTGACATCCTACCTACTCTGTACACCAACATCTCTCGCTAACAGGCAGTTTGACATCCTACCTACTCTGTACACCAACATCTCTCACTAACAGACAGTCTGACATCCTACCTACTCTGTACACCAACATCTCTCACTAACAGACAGTCTGACATCCTACCTACTCAGTACACCAACATCTCTCACTAACAGACAGTCTGACATCCTACCTACTCTGTACACCAATATCTCTCACTAACAGGCAGTTTGACATCGTACCTACTCTGTACACCAACATCTCTCACTAACAGACAGTCTGACATCCTACCTACTCTGTACACCAACATCTCTCACTAACAGACAGTCCAACATCCTACCTACTCTGTACACCAACATCTCTCGCTAAGTCTGACATCCTACCTACTCTGTACACCAGCATCTCTCACTAACAGACAGTCCAACATCCTACCTACTCTGTACACCAACATCTCTCACTAACAGACAGTCTGACATCCTACCTACTCTGTACACCAACATCTCTCACTAACAGACAGTCCAACATCCTACCTACTCTGTACACCAATGTCTCTCACTAAGTCTGACATCCTACCTACTCTGTACACCAGCATCTCTCACTAACAGGCAGTCTGACATCCTACCTACTCTGTACACCAACATCTCTCAATAACAGACAGTCTGACATCCTACCTACTCTGTACACCAACATCTCTCACTAACAGGCAGTTTGACATCCTACCTACTCTGTACACCAACATCTCTCACTAAATAACAGCCTGACATCCTTACTAATCTGTACACCAATATCTCTCACTAAGTCTGACATCCTACCTACTCTGTACACCAACATCTCTCACTAACAGATAGTCTGACATCCTACCTACTCTGTACACCAACATCTCTCACTAACAGACAGTCTGACATCCTACCTACTCTGTACACCAACATCTCTCACTAACAGACAGTCCAACATCCTACCTACTCTGTACACCAATATCTCTCACTAAGTCTGACATCCTACCTACTCTGTACACCAGCATCTCTCACTAACAGGCAGTCTGACATCCTACCTACTCTGTACACCAACATCTCTCAATAACAGACAGTCTGACATCCTACCTACTCTGTACACCAACATCTCTCACTAACAGGCAGTTTGACATCCTACCTACTCTGTACACCAACATCTCTCACTAACAGACAGTCTGACATCCTACCTACTCTGTACACCAACATCTCTCACTAACAGACAGTCTGACATCCTACCTACTCTGTACACCAATATCTCTCACTGACAGGCAGTCTGACATCCTACCTACTCTGTACACCAACATCTCTCACTAACAGACAGTCCAACATCCTACCTACTCTGTACACCAATATCTCTCACTAAGTCTGACATCCTACCTACTCTGTACACCAGCATCTCTCACTAACAGATAGTCTGACATCCT